TTTCTCAGCTTAGGCATAAGAGATCCAAACAGAAAGGGCTCTGTGTGGCCTTCCTGGTTCACGCCAGGGACAGCAAGATACCTCAGAGGAAGCGGACATTTCTGATCTAGATACACAAAGCTTTGCCAAATTTCTCTAACCCTTTGGCCACAACTGCTGCCTTCACCTCTCAACCTAAATACCTGGGACGGTACAGAGGGATGCCCACAGTTGTTTGATGGGTGTGGCAGCCCACACACCACACCCCCACGAGCCAAGGCAGCCTTCATCGGAGTGTATCTTCCCCTTCTCAGAACAAGAAGGGCCAACAGGAGCAAAGGGGGCTTGGGGCACTGGAGGGCAGACACCCAGCTAGCGACAGGCTTGGGACACTGATTCCCTCCATTTATCTTCAAGGAATCATGCGTCACGACTCCCAGAGCAGACACACTAGGATGACTTGGTCTCTAGCTACCCCTCCTTCCCACAACCACCACATGAAATTACCTTCCTTCCATCGTCGGACAAGCACTTGCTAACTTATCAACCTTAGACATTGCCCCTTTGCTAGCAGATTCAGCTTTCTGGATGTTCTACCCTTCTAGCTACATGGAAAGAAAACCAATTCAAGAAGCCACTGGGGACCTTTCAGCTCCAGGAAAAATGCTGATTAGTCACTCTTCACATAAGAAAACTGGTTTGTATGGCCACTACACACACATTATAGGGCGGTCAGCCTCTGGATGAGCCACCAATTCACCGGCAGTTTTAGGCTCTTCTGTGATGCTGAACCCATTTCATCTCCTTCTTGGTCAAAGCCAAAGCCAGTCATGATGGCACCACTCTTTCTCATCTCACTGCCTTCCTCAAGGCACCACGCCCTGAAGTCTCCAAAAGCAGACAGCCCTCATGGTGAGACCACATTCAGCAGAGAGACCTACTTGAAACATTTCTAAAGGCAAACCTGCCGGGGGAAGGGAAGACAGCCATGCAGGTTTGGGGTTTCTCCAGGAACCACAGTGAGAACCAGGAAACCTTCTGACTCAAGAACAACCCCAGCCAGCAAAATGCAAACCCAAGTACTCAACAAAGCCAGGACAAATGAGCAAAATTCTGTGATTTGCAATAGCTTTGCTCTCCTCTCCCCAATTCTATTCTGCCTTCATGCTTTGCCAATAATTTTTAAAGATGTATTTATTAGTTTATATTTCAAAGGCAGATTCACAGAGAAAAGGAGAGAGTGATCTTTCTTCTGCTAGTTTACTCCCCAAATGACCACAACAGCTGGAGCTGGGCTGGTCTAAAGACAGGAGCCTGAGCTTCTTCCAGTCTCCCACTTGGATGCAAGGACCCAAGGATTTGAGCCATCCTCTCCAGCCCTCCCAGGTCACAAGCAGGGAGCTGGATTGGAAGTGGAGCAACCAGGACTAGTAGGTTGAGCACCACAGACTAAGGCTTAACCTACTATGACACGGTGCCAGTCCCCTAAAATTTTTTTACAGCTAGTTTTGGAACATCACAAACTCCTTAATCCATGATCCTTTCTCAGTCTCCACTGAAACAAAAAAAAAGTTTATGTACATATTAGGATCATTCAGTTAAAAGGCAACCATTTGCAAAGAAGTGGTCTTAAAGTAAATTCAAAATCACAGACTCTAAGGTTTGCATTTCACCTAATTCTCTTAAATAGTGATGGTGTAGGATTCATCAAATACAAACTCCAGGGGTTATGCTCCATGGCACAGACAGTAAAACTACCACCAGCTATGCCAGTATCCTGTGTGGGCAACACTTTGAATCCCTGCCGCACCACATCAGATCTAGCTTCCTGCTAATGTCTGGGAAATGCAGTAGAAGATGGTCTAAGTGTTTGGTCCCTACCACTCACGTGGGAGACCCAGAAGAAGCACCTGGGTCTTGGCTAGGCTTTGGCCCAGCACTGGTTGTTATGGATATGTGAGGAGTGAACCAGCAGATGGAGGACAACCTCTCTTTCAAATAAATTTTTTTAAAAAAAATCATAAACTCCGGGGCCCGGCACAATAGCGTAATGGTTAAGGTCCTCATCTTGAACGTGCCAGGATCCCATATGGTCGCCAGTTCTGATCCTGGCAGTTCCACTTCCCATCCAGCTCCATGCTTGTGGCCTGAGAAAGCAGTCAAGGATGGCCCAAAGCCTTGGGACCCACCTGGGTGGGAGACCTAGAAAGAAGTTCCTGGCTCCTGGCTTCAGATTGGCATAGCACCAGCCGTTGTGGTCACTTGGGGAGTGAATCATCGGATGGAAGATCATCCTCTCTGTCTCTCCTCCTCTCTGTATATCTGCATTTCCAATAAAATAAATAAATTTTTAAAAATATATAAAAAATCATAAACTCCAGTATTTCCTAAATACTATAAATTATACAATAATATCTAATTCCAGTGGTTAACAGTGGTTAAGACAGTGAGCTTTCAGATTTAATCTTTCCAATTTTATCTTATAATGGGACAATCTAAATGGGCTTTTTTTTTTTACAAAAAGAAAAGTTTGAGGTTTTCTAAACTAACAATAAAAACATTTTTAAAGTGCATGAACTGATTCATTGAGAAGAAAAAGTAAGGAGGGTCGCATCACAGGTTGCTACCTCTTTCTATGACAAAGCTACTACCTGCGATCTGTGGGCTGAATGTTAATTTCTGAGTCCTGAGGACATAGCTAAAGCAACAGAGAAGGGAATGAAGTCCGGGCAGGTTCACAACCACCTGCACACTGGAAAGGGTAGGCACGAGGTCTGGGAGGTGGAGACTGAGTGGCAATTCCGTGAAGCCCAGCTCCCAGGCAGCCCCCGCTCAATGGACCTGAATGGTGGAGTTGACTAACTCTGATGCAGGACCTGGCTCAAGTCTGTGCAGGATACACTGTCTGTGCAGGGACACTGCCCAGAGAAACAGAAAGTCACTGTTTACAAAATAGCAGTTTGGTTTTTTTTATGAATCAATGTGTGTATGTGTGATGTTTAAGTTTTGTAGTTTGCTGGAATTTTTTTCACAATTTTGAAGCTGGAAAAATTTAACTTGAAACACACCTGGCTTTTGAAAAGCCGCATCCCGCAACAAAATGAAGAAACTGAAGAACTCTCCATTCTAGGTGGAGATTTTTAACCTGTCCTCTCCTACGCAGCACTTTGTTTCAGCTGACTGCCAACACTTCTTTCTCCTCTACAGGACAGAGTGAGGATCCATGCAGGTGCCTTCCACTCCGCTGACTTGGACATGGAGGGATCCAGGAACTGGCCACTTGTTGGGGCTTCCTGGGCTAGGGTTCTGAGCAATTTGCTGTGTCTTGGTAAATAATATCTTGTCCCTAAGGTTCAATTATTTTAGAAATTTAATGTGAGAATAGTAAATGAATGAGACCAGAGGATGTTTTCTTTGAGCTATTTTGTGCCAACGCAACAACAACAAACCCAGAATGGAATGAAAATGCAAGTGCGATCACGACTTCCAAAGTGACCAGAAGGGTAACAGGCACACAGAGGTGACGGGAACAAATTCCCCATGAGTCCCTGACGCAGGAGGCCTGGGGTTCCACAGAAAATCAGCAAAAGGACTCTCACTGTGAAAATACAAAATAAATAAGTCCTCTCCCTGGGAGCTTGGTATGCACGGCCTGTCAAGCTCTGTTTTGGGAGAAAGTAGGAAGTTAATAATAACAACACACAGGAAAAAATAAGCTGGGCTTCAGCTCACTGGGAAACAGCTCAGTAGAAAATTATTTTACAAAGAGTCTATTCAATTAGCTAAGGCATGATTCGACTCTAAGGATGAAAGAGCGGTCACTCAGCTTCTGGATGGGATGACGCACTCGGCAAGTCTGTTATGCATCAGGCGGTCACTAAAATAGACCGTCGTGAAAGTCATTTCCTACGAGACATAGAAATTATGGCCAGTATAATCCTCTACCAAATGCATTTGCAGTTAGAAAATAATGGAGGTGTGATGCTGCCTGGAGACCACAGATGCGCTGTCTGCCCACCACATCCTGTCCAGAGGTGTCAGAGGGCACAGGACGAGTTCCCACTGTTCCTGACATGGCGGCTACCACTGAGCTACTTGGGGAGTGGGGAAGGTGGCGGGGGCGGGATGTGTGTGAAGACCTGATGTAAGCCTCCACACCACGCAGGATCCAGCTGAGCGCACACAAAGGGCTCAGGAGCCCTGCGTCCCTGTGTGCTCCACGGACACATCCCCTTACAAGGGACACGCCTCGTGGGCAGCACTAGGCTGCCCCCAAAACATGCAGTGGGAATGGGGTGCAGTCACTCAGCTCTGGAGGGGGTAGGTTCCTTCTCCTCCTCCAGTTTCCCAGGACTGACCTGCCTTGCTCCCCCAAATTCTCCAACTGTTGTCATCCTCTTCTAACTCCACTCTAGAGTTGCTCAAACAGGTGGAAGGAGCAGATGGAAACTGCTGCACAGGCAAAATGAAATGTGCTTGGAAATAAAAATAATAAATACAGTAATAAATAAATCTATTCCTCAAGATTTGGAGTCAGAGGCTCCAAGGTCCTGACACCTGGCGGGGGGGGTTCCCTCCTCATCTCCTTCCTCCCCTACCTAGTGGCAGGGCTCCACCTGCTCCTGGTACATGCCAGGGCTGTCGCCAGGGAAGCATTAGCTTTGGTTGGTCAAGAACAAATACAATTATCAGCAGCAGCAATGGCAGTGAAGCATCATTATCGCCTTTTTAGGGGACTTTGAACCTCAAAAGCTTTACGCCCTCAATGCAGGAACCAGAAATCCAGAAACCTGGGAAACCTGACGGGCTTCACTGCATCTGACTGCAAAGCAAACTTCCTCAGGAACACTTCCACTCTAAAGAGAAGCAGAGAGCAGTGGAGCATCTGGAGGTGGCCTTTTTTTTTAAGCTTCTTTCTAAAATGATATCCCTCCTTCTTTTACCAAAAAAAAAAAAAAAAAAAAAGAAGAAGAAAAAATGATGACCTTGATCTTCAAACACCATCCACCCTTCCTGCTGCAGTCACCAGTACCCTTGGGGAGGGAGAGCAGCGCCTGGAACAGGAAGTGCTGGGGGCATCTTTTCTCCTGGACGATCTCTGGTCACACTGAACACCACTACAGATGCCAGGAAAGTTCTTGTTGATATGGCATGCTCACACACACACACGCACACCCCAAGGACAGGGGAAAGAGCGGGTCTAACCATCCGGAGTAACAACTTCCCTTCCAAGGCAGTGGGGTCTCCCAGCCTGTGCTGGAGCCCAAGAACACCCAGCTAGCAGGAGTATGGCAGTGGTGAGAGGCTGGACAGAGCATGCTCCGTCCAGGACATTGGACTCCTACATGGCCAATGTGCTTTTCCCTCCCTCTTCTGGCACCTTGGGAAGTGAAGAACGGGCCCCACCAAACGCATCGGTATCAGCAGCTGGCTGGAACGGGGTAGGCGAGTGGGGAGCAGCATCTGGGTGATAAAATCTTGTACCTACACAAAGGTAGCTTTATAAGAGGACAGCCTGCTTTCCTTGGAGGTTTTTGCCTGCTAGGTGCCTTCACAGAGGGATTTCGCCAGAGTCCTAAGCAGAGAGAGTCAGGGACCACAGAGCAGGGGCACTTTGCCACCACCTGCAGAAGCCGGCCAGGAAGGGGAAAAGCAACGGTCGGGCATGCTGGGTGGGGCGGGAGGCTCGGCAAGCCCCCCACGGAATTTTCAGCTCTTGTCTATGCAAAACAAGAGGCACCCCCCTTACCCACCGCTGGCAGCCTGCTTCAGCCAGCAAAGGGCAGCCCGCCCCCTGCCCCACAGCCCTTCAGCTGGTGTAGTACACGTGGAAGTAGAGAGTCTTGTTGCGCAGCAGGGAGTAGGAGTTGTCAAACTTGAGCAGGTAGATGCCTTCCCCCGGGTAGTCGTGGCTGCCTGCTTGCACGTCTCGGTGGCTGTCCCGCCGATACACCGGCATGACCTCCCCGTAGCGGCCCCTCAGGGAGCTCCTCGAACCCCTCTCCACGTCTCCAACTGGGACAGGGTCTGTGGGAGCAAAATGGCAGGGTGCTTGGAAATGGGTTCAGAGGTCACGTATGTCTTATCCAGGGCTAAGAGGATGGATCAGGCACCCAGTGGCTTTCATCCAGGGTGGGAGCAGGTGGAGGGATCCTGGGGGAGGGGGAGGGGCAGCATGTTACCATCCTCCCATAAGCATGTGGCCATGATCTTGCCTACTGGGTTACACAGGCATTTAGCATCCATAGATTTAGGAGTACTAAAACCTGGGTAACAAATATTGTCTCCACTGAGAATCGGTGGCTTAGCGGGGCAGGAGTCTTCCTAGCTTCTGAAGTGTCTGGATACAGCTACATAGAGGGAGAGGGGGTTAGACACCTTTTGGATTCAGTGGGTCAGAGGATCAGCCAACAGAGCTGGAAGACGTACACAAACAGTACAGAGTAACTCTAGAACTCCACCGTGGCTTCCCGAGGAGCTACAAACAAGACACAAGGAGCCCCTCTTCGCTGCCACTCTGCGATTTCCCATCCGAGCTGCGCTCCCACAAAGAGGCAGGTTAAGGGATGAATTATAAGGCTGTGTAAAAAAAAGTCAAGGAATAGGTTAATGTTTAGAACCTGCTCTTTTTCTAAAGATTTATTTATTTTTATTGGAAAGCCAGATATAGAGAGAGGAGGAGAGACAGAGAGGAAGATCTTCCTCTGATGTTTCACTCCCTAAGTAGCTGTAATGGCTGGAGCTCAGCCAGTCCAAAGCCAGGAGCCAGGAACCTCCTCTGGGTTTCCCATGCAGGTACAGGGTTCCAAGGCTTCAGGCCGTCCTCGACTGCATTCCCAGGCCACAAGCAGGAAGCTGGATGGGAAGCAGGGCCACCAGGATGAGAACTGGTGCCCATATGGGATCCTGGCATGTTTAAAGCAAGGACTTTAACTGCTATGCTATTGCACCAGGCCCTAGAACCTGCTCTTACATTACTACCCCTCTCCACAAATTTCTTTCTTTCTTTTTTTTTTTTTTAGCATTTATTTATTTTCATTGGAAAGGCGGATCTACAGAAAGAGCCTCTATCCACTGATTCACTCCCCAAATGACTACAATAACCGAACTGAGCGAATCTGAAGCCAAGAGCCAGAAGCTTCTTCCAGATCTCCCACAAGGCTGCAGGGTGCTAAGGCTTTGAGCCATCCTTCACTGATTTCTCGGGCTATAAACAAGGAGCTGGGTGGGAAGTGAAGCAACCCATATGGGATCCCCAAGCTTGGAGGCAGAGGATTAGTAGTTGAGCCAATGTGCCAGCCCAAGTGAACACCTTTAAAACTGTTCTAAAGAGTAACCAAGAGGGCTGACACTGTGGCATGCTGGGTTAAGCTGCAGCCTGCAAAGCCAGCCTTTCATGTCAGGGTGCTGGCGGCAGTCTTCACTGTTCTGCTTCTAACAGAGCTGGGAAAACAACACGAATTGGTCTAAGTTTTTGGGCTCCTGCCACCCAGGTGGGAGACGTGGAAGGAGTTTCAAACTCCTGGCTTTGACCTGGCCCAGTGCCGGCCACTGCAGCTACTTGGGGAAATGATAATAGAGCTTTCTCTTTCTCACTCTGTCTCAGCCCTTCAAATAAGCAAGGGAAGTACCCAGTAGTCAGCCAGGTATGATCATCTGGAGTGGGGAAAAATCGGTACCTTATTTATCAACATGTAATCACTTACTAGGTTACAGATCAGGAATAAATATCCACAAGCTCAGAGAAATGTTCAATAATCTTGGGTTTACGTGTGATCTTAAAGGCCCTGACTCATTCCCTCCCTCATCCAGCCTCACCCCAGCCTCAGAGACTCTGGAACAACTGGATACTGGTTAAGAGAGAAAGAAGCTTTCAATTAATGCATCAAGACCAACCCTCCTGGAAAGTTCTCCTAGGGTCTTAGCTCAGCCTGTACTCCTTCAATCTAGCTGGCCATACTGGATCCCTCACTTGCATTCTAAGGGAGTACCAGACTGGCCAAACCCAGGAAGCACTTGCTAAAAACTTGACTCACTTGGAAAAGTTACAATGAAATTAAATTTACCCTCAATCTCCTCCTCGTCCTCTTCTTCTTCATCCTCATCCTCACTGGAGTCGCTGACCTGCACAGTGATGTCAGTGCTGGTGACAGGCGTCCAGTCAAAATACACTCCAAAGCCAATGTCGTAGTCATCAGTGGCAAACTCCCAGCAGACGCGCTTCCCCTCTGGATGTGTGGGCACCCGGATGGTCACCACCTCTCCCCGCTTCACCACCAGGCGGCTGTTCTTCTCCTTGCCCAGCTTGCTTTTGAATTCCTTCACCTTGGCAAAGGTCCAGATGGATGGGGGAGCCATCAGAGGTGGGGACACTGAAAGGACAGGTGACTTACTGCTGAGTACCGAGGAAAAGACGTGGCCGCAGCCCTGCACGCAGCATTTTGCTTAGTGCAGTTAACACAGGGATGCCCTTATCACTGGCTTCTCTACTTTCCTTTCACAAGTGACTTGCTTTGCTCCCATCTACCTGCATGGAAACCGCAACCTCCCAAAACCATGTTCTACGCTCCCAACCGGCTTACCTCTTCTGTGGTCCCCAAGAAGATCTGCAGATTCCAAGTCAGCAGAAAGAACATCAATTGCGCCTGTGTGCTCAGACTGGATCATAACCGTGTCCCCTGACCTCTGTGGGACCTGGTACTTGGCCATCTGCACAACAGGATTCTGGTTAAAGGACGTACTAGAGTGGCAAGTTCCAATGAACCTCTTTCTAAAGGAAGGTAGCCCACCTCTGCCCTGTTAACCTTTCTGACCGCAAGTCAAGGGTTAATGAGTTCTAACTACAAAATGCTAATGAATTCTAAGTTCTCGTAACATCCCCAAAGCATTCCTTAGTTTCAAGATTCTTCAGAACGATTTCATTCCAGATCTTTTACAAAATCCTGGCCAGAGATGGGCATCTGGAGCAGCCATTGAGATGTCTGCCAGGATGCCCACTGCCCATGTCAGAGGGCATGGACCCCAGTCTTGGCTGTCCTAGAGCCCAGCTCTCTGCCTTTCTACTAATGTGCATCCTGGGAGATGGCACATGATGACGTAAGGAGTTGTCCTTGTCACCCATGTGGAAGACCTAAACTTCAGCTGTTGGCTTAGGCCTGGCCCAGCTCCAGCCATTTTAGGCGTTTGGGGAATGAACCAACAGATAAGCATGTTTGCTCACTTTTTCTCTACGAACCAACAGGTAAGAGTGTGTGCATACTTGTGTTCTCTCTGCCCCACACCCCACTCCCCCATCCCTGCCTCAAAAAAAAACACAGACTTACAGAGCAATGTTCAGTTACTGACTTTGTTAGCCAACAGCATTTTGGTGCCAGGACTGTCTTGCCTAGGCGTGCACAATGCCTCACTATGGCTCCTACCTGATGGTTCTTACATCTGGATTTCCTTGAAATCTCATCTTGCTACACATTCTCATGCTGCATTTCCCACTCAGGGGGAACTTCTATATCAATGGCAGTTCCCTAAAGCCCCGCAGATGGGGAAATCTGCTTGTGCTCACTTCCTGAGTGTGTGTCTTTCCCTGGGATACAGGTTGTTTCACCCTCCGTCTTTACTAACAATGTTCTAAATAAATCATTGCATTAGATTATAGGCCAAGCCCATGATTTGTATTTAATCATTACATTTGCTGCCAGACACCTGCCCTGCATGGACAATACCCTGGCGTGTGATACTCAGGGCTCCTGTTGACCCTGCCCCTTCTCTTCAAATCCCACAAATGAGTGTGCCTTGCTTCAGGCTATTAGGCGATAACTTCCTGCCCTTCTCCGAACAGTTGGTAAGCAACTTCTGTAAGAAATCTATACCTCCTGGCCACAAGGGAGAACATACCAGTGACTCAGCAATCCAGTTACTGGGCTGAAATTGTATTATCAATCAATCAACTTGGCAGTCCTTCCAGACTCTCACAGCATCTGTTTGGAGAGCAAACTCTCCAGGTCTTTTCATACCCATTGCTAAAGGAAATGAATCCAACTTCAGCCAGCGGGCTTCCATGAATCTTTCTTTATCCAAAAGTCTCAGCAAAGAATTCTGTTTGTAACTCAAAGGCTACATGGCTTTAGAAAGTCACTAATACCACAGCCTAGGTCCCCTCATCTGTTAAATGGGAACACAGCAATACCTATAGCACATGAGCTTGTTTTCAGAAATAAATGAAATGCTGTGTATTAAAATGTTCATTTTCTATAAAGCATTATGAAATATAATGCTTGGTATTGTCTTCACGGACACCAATATCAATTGTGATTGTAAAACATATGCTAAGAATGACGCAAATAGGATCTTTGTCTCATATCTCCATGGTAGAGAGATCATTACTACGAATTCCATTTCTACAGAATATTCACCATAAACCCTTTGCAAAGAAAGTACCAATAAATCACAGTCCAACAATTTCAGGCTCTTCACATCAAGATCACAAGATCACAAGAATATTCATTCTATCTACTTTATTTTTTGAGTAAGTGCCTACTAAGTACTTGTAAAATGGTAGACTCTGTGGGGAATATTTTTTCAAAATCGCTTTCCAAATAATCAAAAACAATGCCCTACAGGAAGCAAAGAGAGAACTCTGGACGCCACCCCCATGATGTGGCTAAATGTTGATGCCACAGACTCCTTTTGCAAAGCGAATATGCTCCCTACCTCATGGAGGACCTGGGCCTGGTCTGCAGGCAGCAGATCCTGGTCCGCCAAGGCCTGGGCCTCTGGAGCACTGGCAGCTTTCCGCAGGTCTTCTTTGGCATCCTTGCTCCCTGGTGACACCATCTGTGGCCTCGTGGAGGAAGAGAGCCTGTCAATCAACGGCTCTTGGAAAAGATGCAATCATCCTGGACACACGTTGACACAAAACCATTCTCAAAGGGCACCTCCATCCCTCCCTGGCCTAGCCTTCCCTGGGCATTTAGGGCAGTAGTCACTCGAGCCAACCACTGCCCAGGGCTGAACCAGCCCACAGGGCAGCGGTGACACCGTGCAAGGGCACACGGCCTGACAAAGCCAGGTCCTAGGCTGTCAGAACCATAGTGAACACACAATGCAGTTGTTTGAGATGGACCAAACATCTGGTTTTCTTTGTGGTTGTGTCTTTCACTTGTTTACTTTAAAAATTACATGTATTTGTGCTGTAAAGCGTGATGCTCTGATATATGTATACATCGTGAAGTGATCCACACCAGCTGAATGACATAATCCACGAGTGCAGATATTTTTTGTGTGTGGTAAGATTATTTAAAATGTTCTTACCAATTTTCAAGTATACAATCTATTAAATATGGTCAGCATGTGTTACAAGGATCTCCAGCACTTGTTCTTGACACTTTCATACCATCCAGCCAACAGCTTCCTCCTCCTGCCCGCTGCTCTAAACCTCTGAAAACCAACATTCTTCTCTCTGCTTCATTAATTTCCTCTTTCCTCACTATGCAATCCACACATTGTTAACAAAGGCCAATAAGACTCCCAATTCAGATCTACACATAAAACCACAGGGTGGTACAGGCCAGTGCTATGGCACAGTGCCTAAGTACCTGCCTGCAATGCCAATATCCCATATGAGTAGCAAGTTCCAGCCCTGGCTGCTCCATTTCCAATCCAGCTTCTTCCTAATGCATCCAGGACAGCAATGGAATGTGGTCCTAGTGTCTGAACCCCTGCCACCCACATGGGAGACCCCGATGAAGCTCTTGGCTGCTAGTTTAGGTTTGGCCCAGTTCTGGCCATTGTGGCTATCTGCAGAGTGAACCAGCACTGGCAAGAGCCCTTTCTCCCACTTTCTCTTTCTGTAACTCTCTAAATAAATAAATAATAATAATAATAATAAAAAAACCAGCCACTCCAAGATGAAAGCGAAGGGAGGAGGCCTCCCAAAGACAGAAGTGCAAACTGATGATCAAGGTTGTCCCTTGTCACAGTTGCTCCAAAACTATTTTCTGGAAGCTCCATGTCATCTCCTGGACCAGTTCACTGACAGAAGCAATCGCAGCCTTCTCTTTGGAAGTACATTAATTAGCTACATGCTCCCTTTGCCAGCACATATACTAAAAAAAATAAAAGAAAAATTGGAACGGATCACCCAGGCCAGTGACCTAGAAAACAATTGTGCAAGTCGTTGATTTTAAAGGGACAAGAGAATGATTTCTGTCTTCCTCCACGTCCACTGCCTTCAGCAACACTGGAAAATGAGTTAAGTTCCAGGGCTGTAGCATAATATTGCCAGCAAGCTGGAAATCTGCTGCCAAGTGAAGGTGATGTGGGTTTTATACAATCTTTTTTTTTTTTAATTGCAAAGTCAGATATACAGAGAGGAGGAGAGACAGAGAGGAAGATCTTCCGTCCGATGATTCACTCCCCCAAGTGACCACAACGGCCAGTGTTGCCCGATCCGAAGCCAGGAGTCAGGAACTTTCTCCAGGTCTCCCACGCGGGTGCAGCAGCCACACTGACACCAGGCCTCTGCCCTCTCACCAAATCTCCTCCCATCCCCACATGACCCAGGACGCTCCGGCACAATGATCTTTCGAATCTTCGATAGTCCTTAAACACCTCACTTTAAGGTCTTCGAGCCTGGGTCACCACTGCCTACTGCAGTGTGTGCCTAGTGAACTTGCCAGCCTCCTTCCTTTGGCCCATCGTTCTCAGGGGTCTCCTGAGGCGTCCACCCCGGCCCTGTTACCCTGTGTGCCCCTACCCTGCCTCAAGCTCTTCACTGCACTTAGTATCACTCTGACACAGGACGGACTGCAAGATGCATACTTGCTTTTAGACCTCAACACACCTGGAAATATGGGATGTTTTAAGAACTGACAATGTCTTCAGACTGCTGTGGCCTGGCCCGACAGCGAGTTCTTCTGCAGGAGTCCTGCATCTGTTTCTGCCAGTACCCAGGCAAGCTACCAACCTGAGGCGACTAGGAATTCAGCGCACAGCTGAAGGGTTTTGTTGCAACTACACTGCACGGTGAATTTTGACAACAAACTGATAACGACTACCAACTTACATGCGTTTTCCCCGGGCCCTGGTTTTTCCTCCCTTTCCCAGGGCCTAATCTCATTCCCTCGCCATCCTTTTCAACAGGGAAGGGCTTTTCCCGCTGCTCATCTTCTTGGAGCTGGCTTACAGGGCCCTTGCTCCACGTGGCATCCCTCTTAGGCCACCTGCCATGAGCATTTTTTCCCTGTTTGGCTGCACACTTGCAGCATGTGTTACAGCTGGTGGCACGCCAGTTTCTGAGACAGGAGTAGCACTTGTTTTTGGTCAGCCTCTGAACTTAAATGCAGGCTCCATGAGGCACCACCGGCACAGGCGGGTTCCTTTGTGGAATTCTTACTACCTAGAAGAGTTCCCAGCGCTATGGGCTCTCAACAAGTATCTACTGAATGAATGAACAAAGAGTAGAAATTCTTAAAATCTGCTGAGTGACTCAGTGGGTAGGTTCGTTTTTCTTGGAGAATAGAAGTTTGTTGAGTCAGGCTGTCACTGGCAACGTAGGGAAGGTGGGACTACAGTAGTTACTGTGGGCCACTTAGCCTTCTGCCACCTTATGCGGCAGCCAACACGCTAAGTCGCCCCTTCGCCTCCATGAGGGCTCCTCTGAACCCGTACGGTCCTGCATCCTCAGACACCTCTTTAGACAGGACGTGCAACAACCACATGAAGTTAGTATTCACATTAGCGTTTCATGCTCTGGAGGAGTGGTGAAGGCTACTTTGGGAACAGAACTCGTTATATCACTTGATCCTGGTGATAAGTCATGGAAAGGAGAAACTTTGACTCTAGTTTCTTCTTCTGGTTTCGGTTGAGGCAGAGCACGGAGGTCATCCCAAAGGATGGGGAAGGCCCTCCAGCTGCCAGCCACCAGCCACCAGCCTCACTAGGACAGAAAAGTCACATCATTTCCAACTGCAATGGACACAAAACGCAAGCGCGGTGCTTCAGATGTCAACTTGCTGGATTCTTTTCTTCCCTTGCTGGATTTTAGAAACAGAACTTTGAAACAACATCTCCTTTTAGCAAAGAATGTTGTTTCTCAATCAAAACTTTTATTTTACGTAGGGGAGGATAAAGCAATCTGGGCCCAAATGTATCCTCCAAGCCCACATGTGCAGGAAAGGAAAGGCGACAGGCAGGTGGAGGGAGGCACATCTCGGGGGACTTGAATGGAACAGAAACTGTCTCGGGAACGGGCACCTGGGGGAGGCTGCGTCTTCTGCAGGATCTGTGCGTGCAATAATTGAGCAGCTCCCTGGTGACTCAAGACTTCCCACTGCCAGGTACAAGAACAAGCTACCGTTCTGTGAGCTTGGGCAAATTAGAGAACTCACTGTTTTACTTTCCTCATCAAAAGGAAAAAAAAATAGGGCAAGGAATGAGAAGGTTGGATAACTGGTACTGAAACACAGTAATATAAATGTAAATATTATGACAGTTAGTGGGGTATGACAGCTTAGTGGGGTGACAATGCCTCACGATGATTTATAGTATCATGGTTAAAGAACTGGAAGACAAGGAGTTACTTGGCTCCAAACAAAGAAAAGAAAAAGGGTGGTTGCATGGTATGGTTGGTTCAAGCTAAGTATATGTGTTGAAAAGCTGCACTGCAGGGCTTGGCGTGGTGGCTCCACATGCTAATCCTCCACCTGAAAGCACTGGCATCCCATTCAAGCGCTGGTTCTAATCACAGTTATTCTGCTTCCAACCTGGCTCCCTGCTATGGCCTGGGGAAAGCAGCGGAAGATGGCCCAAATCTTAGGACCCCTACATCCACACGGGAGACCTGGAAGAAGCTCCTGTGAAAATAAAGTGAAAATAAAAAGGCTGCTGTATTAAAAAAAAAACTAAAGAAAAGTTGCACTGGGCCCGGCGCGATGGCGCAGAGGTTAAGGTCCTCACCTTGCACGCCCGGGATCCCATATGGGTACCGGTTCTATCCCCGGCAGCCCCGCTTCCCATCCAGCTCCCTGCCTGTGGCCCGGGAAAGCAGTCGAGGACGGCCCAAAGCTTTGGGATCCTGCACCCGCGTGGGAGACCCGGAAGAGGCTCCTGGCTTCGGATCGGCATAGTATCGGCCCGTTGCGCTCACTTGGGGAGTGAATCATCAGACGGAAGACCTTCCTCTCTGTCTCTCCTCTCTGTATATCTGCCTTTCCAATAAAAAATAATAAAAAATAAATCTTTAAAAAAAAAAAAGAAAAGTTGCACTGTAAGCCCCTTAAAAATATGCATACATTATATGCTAATCCAAAATTTTAAAATAAAAACTTAACAAAAAGTAGGAATATTTATTTCATTAGGGTTTTATGAGGATTTGATTACACGTGCATTTTATATCAATTTAACACACAATATAATATTTATCAAACAGAAATATTTGATGAGAGTAACTATATCATTAACACCAAGACATATCCAATGCAGCATGGCTACTATATCATTATGATCAATCGGATTACAATTATGAAAATAACATGAATTATTTCACATCTCAAAGTAAAAAGAGGGGCTGGCATTGTGGTCCAAAGGATAAAACAGCAGCCTGCAATGTAGCACCAGCTTAAGTCAGCTCTGCTCTGCTTCCAATCCAACTCCCTGCAAATGAGCCTGGGAAGGCCCGAGCATGGCCCAAGTGCCCCAGCCCTGCCATCCAGGTGGGAGACAGCCCTGCCATCCAGGTGGGAGACCAGGGTGCAGTTCTTGGCTCCTTCCACCTCACTTCTTCCTGGCTCAGCCCTAGTCATTGTGGCAATTTAGGTAGTGAATCAGAGGATTAAAGGCTTCTCTCTCTCTGTTATTTCAACTTTCAAATCAACCAATCAATCTTAAAAAACAACTAAGATGAACGAACATCTAAGCGGGACTCAAGAAGTAACCAGTTTTTAAAATAGCTTGACATTTTCTTCTACCTCTAGCTGTCAACTTTGCGAGGCATAGGAATGGGTTCTCCCAGATGACACTGTACCATGAATTAATGAGTTGGATGATAACACCTTCAAGCTCAGGGATCTTCAAACACAGCTTTTCACTAATCATTCCTTTAATGTTTCACTGCTTTCCACTCATTCTAGGGTTCAGTATAACTCTTCCTGCTCCAAGATGCTAATGATGGTAGGCACATGAGATGGACAGAGAAGTAAATTAACAATGACAATCCAGAGGTCATGATTATAGTTTGATCTGACAATCTCATAATAAATAACTGTCTCAAATTGTTCATGAGTATGAGTGTGTCCCTGTGGTTATGTGTTAAACACGAAACAGCCATTCACCTGCAACGCATTTGGGATCCACTCTAAGTGATCTTCCAGGGACTACACATTACAGTTTTATTCTCAAAAGTAAAACCAAAACTAAACAAACACAACCTACAATTTGAAATAGATCCGACACTGCCCATACACACACTTACAGGCTCATTAGTGACAAAACTACTCACCCTCCTTACTTCAACCTGCCCCTCCCCTGGAGCTGCAGCCTGCCTCCTTTGCCAGTTCCTCATCTCGAACGTTTTATCAAAGCAGCCGTTTGTCCCTACCTGTCAGGAGTGGAATGGGGCTCCGGGTCAGAGACAGAGGCCAATGGAGTAGTGGTCTCGGTGTTGTCTAGATCTTCATTCTCTAGAAAATCATGGAAAGCAAGAATTCAAAAACTGAGTGGGAACATGATAATGATTTTTTATCTTTGGAAAAAAAAAACCCAGCAGTTTCAACCAATTTCCTTCTTCCAAAAAGTATTGCTGGTATAAACTCTAAAATCTGGGAAATCCAGCACATAAATTATTCAAATCAACATATCTTAAGTATACTCAGGCAGTGATAACTCATTCATATGCACAAAAAGTCATTTTCCCAAAGCAGCCCCCACACAATTAATCCTAATTCAAAACTCACATTTCTTAAAAGACAGATGGTTGCATTAAGCAGACAACAGAAGACAGAGTAGGAGGAGGGAAGAAAAGAACTGAAACTGGTGTCAAAGAGCAAGGGGCACCTCTAGCTATATTCAATAACCTCAGCTCACTGTTTCCAAGGTCAGGTAAGGAACTGTTGCACATTCATTCTTTTCTGTACTCATTTATTCACCCAGTTTCTTGAACAGCTGGATGCCCTCAAGTAGTCTGTAGGATGCAGCACAGAGCTCATGTTCCCAAGTGGACAAGATCACAACTGGGATTATCACAGCCATTTTACAGATAAGGAAACCAGGGCAGAGAGAAGGAACCCAACCCCAGCTGTGCTCTGCACTCCCAGGTGCTCCCAGCTCTGGGATTTACTCAATCACTGAACACTCAACTAACACAGTTCAGTCCTCCTAGATGGCGGCTAGCTGCACAACCTCTGTTTCAGACAGCAGGAAGTCTAATGCTCCCTTCCCAGTACAAACACGACTCAACTAAGTAATGCTCAAAGTGTCAGTTTGGTAGCAACCTAAAACGGCAGGCAGATGGGATCCTGCTCTAATCTAGCCTCATGTTTCTATGTGAGGAAGATCTGATTTTCTTTTCTCAATTCACGGTGTCATAGGCAGAAAGACCTCACAGCTCATAATATCCACTTTTTGTCTCCCAACAAAGGAAGTGAATCTAACACCGCAGTCAGCTGCTCCCCAGACTTGGCTATGGTATCAAGAGTGCCCCACTTCACTGGAGGATGATTCAAAGAGGAAGCTCTCTGCAATGTTGACCTAGTGAAATCTGCTTCTAATAAATTCTCCTTCCACAACGACCTTGGACACACACAGTCAGCTGTCAGACTTCCTCCAAGGTCTCCTGCCCAGACTGGCTATCTCATCAGCCAGTCTCCAACCACACAGACCTTGTTTAGTCATTCAGTTTAGCTTGTTCATTTTAAAGTAAAGAGCTCAAATGGGGGCCTGTGTTGTGGCACAGAGGGTAGAGCCCCAGCTGTGATGCTGATATGCATACGAACACAGGTTCAAGTCCCAGCTACTCCACTTTCCATCCAGCTCCCTGCTGATGTGCCTGGGAAAGCAGCAGAGCATGGCCCAAATCCTTGGGACCCTGCACCCAAATGGGAGAACCAGGAAGAAGCTCCTGGCTCCTGGTTGGCCCAGCCCTGGCTTTTGTAGCTATCTGGGGAACCAGCTGGTGGAAGATCTGAAAGATCTATCCCTCCCTTCCAAAAACAGATCTTAAAAAGAAAAGCAAAAACTCAACTAAACAGCTTTTTTTTAGATAGGTTCTAATACATGCAGCATATAATAATAATAACCATTTAAAAAGGACAATACTTCTTTTTTTAAAGATTTATTCATTTTTATTGCAAAGTCAGATATACAGAGAGGAGGAGAGACAGAGAGGAAGATCTTCCATCTGATGATTCACTCCCCAAGTGACCATAAATGCCAGTGCTGCCCGATCTGAAGCCAAGAGCCAGGAACTTCCTTCAGGTCTCCCACACGGGTGCAGGGTCCCAAGGCTTTGGGCCGTCCTCGACTGCTTTCTTAGGCCACAATCAGGGAGCTAGATGGGAAGTGGAGCTGCCAGGATTAAAACTGGTGCCCATATGGGATCCCGGTGCATGCAAGGTGAGAACTTTAATTACTACGTTATTATACCAGGCCCGACATTACTTCTTGGCATGACACTCTAACCAGATACTAAAATTTTTAACTTCAAACTTACTTTTTTTGTCCTATATAACTCAGCTAAGATCTCCAGGGCATACATATATAAATAAACTTTTTCCAAACCCACTCTCTTCTGCTCTATTTTGAAATGACTTTTGGCAAAGGATTGACTTTTCCACTTAAATTCAAGAATTTTCATATCCATCTTATTTAAGTTTTTGATATTAATGATGTCTTTGTTCATTCTAGAGCAAACTAAGTACAGATTTTTTAAAAAGTCTGGAAGGGTAGTTACATGTTTTCTTAAGAAAAAAAGATTTCAGGAGCAGCTGCCGTGACATAGCAGGTTAAACCGTCCCCTGGGATGCCTGCATCCTGCCCTGAAGACCTACTTTAGGTCCTGGCTCCTGTTTCTAACCCGGATGCTGTTGCTGTATCCTAGCCGACAGCAGATGATGGCTCGAGTGACTGAGCCCTTGCAGTTCACACGGGAGAACCAGAGGGAGTTCGGGGTTCCAGGCTTTAGCCTGGCACAGCCCTGTCTGTCGCAGGCCTTTGGGGAATGAAACAATGCATGGCAGATACCTCACTCTCTACTCCTGCCCCTCAAATTCATCTCTCTGCCTTTCAAATAAATTAAGTCCTTTTAAAAAAAAGTTTAAAGATCTCAAATAAACAGCCTAATATCATTCCTCATTATGTTTAAGCTAGAATATCTGGGGCCAGGGCTGCAGTGCAATGGTTCAGCCAGCACTTGCAATGTTAGCATCCTACATGAGCACTGGTTTGAGTCCTGGTGGATCCACCTTCCTGGTAAGGCAATTGGGAAAGAAGCAGAAGATGGTCCGAGGCTTGGGCCCTTGCCACCCCGAGGGAGACCTGAACTGAGCTCCAGGCTCGAGGCTTCAACCTGCCCAATCTTGGCTACTGTGGCCATTTGGAGATGAACTAGCAAACCGAAGATCTCTCTCTTGATCTTATCCTCTCTCTCTTCCTGTTGCTCTCTCTGCCCCGCCCCAGATCTGCCTTTCAAATAAACAAATATATGTTTTTAAAAAAAAAAACTAGAACACTTTATTATGTGGATGTACACATCAATTTCCTTCCTGAAGGATGTTACAGTTACTGCAATGTTTTAACATTAGAAATTGTGTCACAGTGCCTAAGCATGTATTTCGTATTTGTGCTTAGGTGTCTGCAATAGAATCTTGGCAGTGAAAACTCTCTGCAGGGATCATCTATCATTTCACGTCACAGCAGCAACAGGGGCGTGCTTTTCCTTGCCCAGCTTCCATCTGACAATTTGTCCTCAACCCTCTGGAAAATTCACAGAACTTTGTATGTGAAGAAGCCATATCAGTTTTAATTTGCAGTTACTTTGGGACATACCAGAGCATTTTCAAAGATCTGGTGACATCCTTTTTACTTTATTTCCTTAGGCTAAATACCCTGAATTGAAATTCTTATCAAAGGGTCTACATAGCAAGACTTTCCTAAACATTGCCAATGTATCTCTAAATTCATTTGTACTTATAGTAAGTGAACATGCCTGTTTTTTATATTCTCAATGATACTAAGGATAATCAATTATTCCCAATCATCTTTTTGCCAATCTAGTAGACACTATTTTCAATATGAAATTATTTGATAAATCATATGGTCAAAATTAAATTATTTTATGCATGGAACCAACCATCGGCTGCTGGTGGAGGTTTTCTTGTTACCGTTTAAAAAGATGAGTTGATGCCACCTACTCTGCAATTGTCGGAAAAAAGGAATTCGCACTCATCTTTTTCAATTTGAAGACACCTTCATGAATAAAATAAACTTAATTTTTTTAAAAATTCTGCCTTCTCTCCGACATTAACACTGTTAGTTTCTCTACGTAGTTCTAGCTAGCCCCGTTCTGGCTTACCCTACTGCTCATCATCAAAATCAAGGTGAATTTTTTTAGGCAGACATAAAATGAGCACAAACATGATGGAAAACATCAGTGGGCTTACAAGAATAACATAAAAGTAATTCTCAAGGAGCCTTGCAATCTTTATTCCAGAAAAGAATCCCTTAGAAAAGGCACAGGGCAGGTGGGGTTTGATGAGTGGAAAGGCAGCAGCAGAAGAGGTCCTGGGATGTAAGTGCAGTGAAGATGCCACGGTGTACTTGCGTGTGCTATTTTTTTTTTTTTAAAGATTTAGTTATTTATTGGAAAGTCAGATATACAGAGAGGAGGAGAGACAGAGAGGAAGATCTTCCATCTGATGATTCACTCCCCAAGTGACCGCAACGGCTGATGCGATGCCAATCCGAAGCCAGGATCCAGGAATTTCTTCCGGGTATCCCACTAGGGTGCAGGGTCCCAAAGCTTTGGGCTGTCCTCGACTGCTTTCCCAGGCCACAAGCAAGGAGCTGGAAGGGAAGTGGAGCTGCCGGGATTAGAATTGGCACCTATATGGGATCCTGGGGCGTTCAAGGTGAGGACTTAAGCCGCTAGGCCACGCCGCCAGGCCCACGTGCTATTTTTTTTTTCCTAAACAGAGACCATTCAGAGAGTACGCAGTGAAAACTTCTTCCCTCATCAGTCCTTTCCTTCAATGAACAGAATTAGGTTTGTGCAGCATTGGAGAGATTTCATGCATATAAGAAAGGGATGTATTTTGATGTGTTTTCATACATATATATTTGTAAACACGATACTATATTCATGTATATACTTTGTCACTAATAGCAAACATAGTTGACAACACTGTGTGCTGCTGTGGCCCCACTTATGTCATGGAGAATATTCCATAACTGTACATATAAAAGTTTCCTCGTTTTTTTTTTTTTCATGGCTAATGTTGGATCTTCCAGCACATAATTTCCCAACTCTCTGTTGATAAACGTTTATGTACTTTCTAATCTTTTACATTACAACCAATGCTAGTATAGCCTTGTGGCTGTGACATTAAATGGCACTAAATTCTTGGAAGGAAACAGATAATGGGGGGAAGTATACTGTAATGAATATTGCCAACTGCCCTTCGTAGCG